AGTTCCGACAATACCACTTGATACCTGATAGATGATTCAGAGAGAGGAGGTGAAATAGTGAAGGGCCAGTTAGGCCCATTTATTAACGGTGGAGGGACTTTGAATGATACTCTGATGTGTCGCTGAAGGATTAATCGTTTCAACCTTTAAAGAGGAAGTATCTGGAACCTCCGATTCAAATTTTATTGTTCATCCTCCGACGTTGAATTAGTTTCGTTCCACTTTTTTACAGAGTTAAGGGCTTGCTCTCGGTAAAGTTGCGTGACAATTAATTTATTTAATACTATTGCGTTCTTGATCTATTTTTATTTAAAAATCCTCCAATTTTTCCTTGTCGAATACTTCTAACGAGCGCCAGACAATTTAGAATGTTACACAAAAAAACATTTTATTGTTTGCCTCTGCCATTGCACATGGAGTTGAAAAAGATCCTTTGAGTGACAGTGACTGAGAAGTTAAGGATTCTAGAATTTATAATCTGTAGAATCTTGTGTTGAATTGAAGCTTTTATTGCTCTTTTGTTGCTCCGGTACTTAAACTACCCCTCTACTACAAACTCAGATTCTATATGTTTACTATTCGAGGTTACAATGTCTTTTTTTTTGTGTTTTTTACTACTTCTGGCATTTTCTCGTTATTTTCAAATCCTCTTTTCTTTCTTACTTTATTGTTCATCCATATTATATATTACAAGTTGTTACAAGTTGGTAAGAGTGTGTATCTGTCTACATTATCGAGAGTTTGTCTCGACTGATCATATCTATCAACTTTCCGAAATTTTGCTATTATTACTGTTAGCTTGCACCCTCCAGGAAATTGGTTGGTTTATATTTTCGTTAATAATGTGTTACAAATATTTCTTCCATATATTTTCGGTACTTACGGAGGTTATTATTTCTCCGATATTTATTAAGCAGTGATTAGACGTTCTGCTCATCTCTGTCCTGTATATGTCGATTATCATTATCGTATAAGTTAATTCAGAATACAAAATTATTGAGGCTAATATTATAGACAATATTTTTTGTCATCTGCGAACTTCCTCTTGATGTATTTAAATATGATCCAACTTATCATGCTAGCCCGATGAAGCAGCAGCTTCATATCTTTAATTTTGAATGTCGCGTTTCTATGTACGGGATTTTATTTATTAATTTTATTCTATGACTTTTTCAAATAAGTTGTTAGCCACTAGAAGGTTTTTAAATCTAAGAGACATAAGCTTTAAACACTGTTGTTATAACTTTGTTCAAGTTTATAATGCTTTTCGGGCAGAGTATTATAAGAAAGAATACTTAGAAAAGTGTATAAAAATATATTACTAAAAATGTAAATGGTTAGAGCAATAATAATTATTATTATTCCACTTTTTAATGCTGTGCACCTCAAAGATATAGTTTGTGCAAGGGCCCTGTAATACAGTCTCATCGGATAATGAAATTTATGTTCTGGGTCGAATCAAAAATGGGAAGTCGAACAAAGCTATTAGCTGGGATTAATGTTCAAAGCCCAAATTCGCATTAGTCAAATTTCCACGAAGCCCTCGCGACTTTGGAATCGTCTTTCGCTTTATCATCTGTCTAATTCTATTTAATCTACCGGAGTATATTCCCAACGCAACCGCACAATCTTATTTGTCGATGTCGTATTTAATTAAAAGCACTAAGTGTTGGAAATAATTAACGAACGCAACTCCAGTAGGTATTGCGGTTCGACTAAAGACTTCCGAAATTACAATTGCTCTTGTAGGACATAAAACGCGAACAATCGGGGCAAATTATTCATTTTAAATTGGTGCGATAGCTTTAATATTCTCTGGTCCTTGGGAAAGTTCTCAGAGTTAAAAAGAGTTATGATAAGTGCGAAACCGTCAATGAAACAACAAATTGTTTCTAGCTAAAGTATTTGTTAGATATTTTTCTGACTTAGTTTTGAAAAATTGTCAAACAGACTAGTGACAAAATTTTTCTTATATGTCTACACTATTTTTAGATCAAAATAATCTGAAAGAGTATGAATCAATTAACCAATGAAGTAAGTTTGGTTGATCTGCAGCGGAGTTATTAGATAACATAGAGGCCGCAAATATGTTAAATCGTTACAGCTCAGGCAGTTATGGCACTTTCCCATAGGAGAGAATGATCTTTGGCACATGTACACATAAATTTTACACACTAACCTGTTCAGGCTGGCATTTATTTATTTAATTTTCCTCTTATTTCAAACTTGAGCAGCGGGAAAGGCTTATCACAAGCTGATTAAAAAATAAGAATATTTTTATCTCGAAATGTGTCAACATCCTTAAAATATCTTAATTTAATTGTACCTAGAATACAATATTTTCATTTCAATTTTCACTAAAAATCGCCGTTGTGCATGTTGCTTCTTCTTCCAGTCATGATTTAGTAGTAAATTCCCTATTCTATTTTCTGGAAACACAATTTCCAAATACATTCTTGTTGAACGTGTTGCATATTATACTTTTCTGCGACCGTCAGTTTTTGGGCACATTTTCGAAAAACTACACGACATGGCCGTCAGAATTGACAAAATTCAAGCCGTGCGGTAAAATCTCAGAAAACATCCGGTTGCTCCCAAACCCGTGTGGTAAAATCTCGGAAATGTCCGAAGTGGCTCGGGTCCGTAGTAAACGAAACTGACGTGGTAAAGTGACGCTTGCCGCACGCCAGATCGGTGTTTAATTAGGTATTTTACAGACGGGAGTAGAAAAAATAAATTACTGGATCTGTCAATTAATTATTAACTTTAATTCGTAATCCATATTTTTTGTTTTACCTATTAATGTGCATAAGTTAAGATTATAGAACTACATTCTGTTTTGCATGTATATGGATTACGAACAATTTATAGAATTCGGAAACTCACTAAGTCGATTACAAAAATCTTCCGGTTTTATCTTCGTTTTTGTCACCGCCTGATTCCCTTGTAATGATAACTCATCCAGCTTGCTCGGATTTTAAGCACGAAAAACTCTGAATAATAGAATCGTCTAAACAGTCATCCATCTATAAACCGATATCTTTGGTAAGATTTACGTGCGGACGTGAAGTCGTTTAGTGACGAACGGTTACATTCACTCCAAAATCCGGCATTTATATAATGTGTCATCTAGGTATTATGGGCCTCCATAAACGAGGTTTCTGGGCGTAAAGTAGAAGACTTAATCTCGCCAGCTCAACTATGTACCTAGTACGGAACTTATTCCAGACGCATTACACGTCGTTAGACGACGCCTTCCATTTTAATGTTAAGGGGAAATATTTAAAAGAAAAGTTAGTCGCGATGGAAGCTCTATATCTATAGCGTTTCTAAAAATGTAAGCGCGACATATTTTTCAGATTGGGGCATCTAGATTCAACTGAAAAGCGAATATCACGTTTTACGGTCTACATATCATCCAACATGCTGCTAATTTAGAGGAAGATTTCGTCGAGGACATATTCTCTGTTCTACCCCTGACATTTTTTGTGATGCGTCGCTGATAAATTCTAAAACACAAAATGAATTTTGTGTTTTGTTTGGAAACCTTTTTGTCTCTCGTAATTTATTCGCTCCTGCGACCGGAAAAAAAATTAAAATCGGTTTTTGGTACTCCCTAACTTTAATTAATTTTTTTTAAGAAACAATGGGGGAAAAAGATTACTTTGTCGCTATTTTCGTTTTGACTTTTTTCGTTTCATTTCATTCATTCCTTATTATCTAAAAGCTGGTGTGTGTCTAATGATTTATTCGTTAATTTTCAAAAAAATAAATAAATAAATAAATAAGAACTAAAAGTTCAGATTTTTACGAAATTATATATTTTGACATGACAATTGTTTGGACAACACCGTGTCTTTATCAAATGTTTGATAAACACACGGTGTTGTCGAAACAATTTTCATGTGAATATATATACAATTTCGTGAAAATCAGAACTTTTATTTCTTATTTATTTTGTTAAATCGATTTTCATCAAGTAAAAGCCACCTCAGGTCAATTTTTGTTAATTTTCTTTTAACTTATTTAACATAAATGAATAATGAGCCATAAATCGTTATATTTAGCTATAGACTGCCACTCTCCGTAATGTTATGCGACACGGAATGTTGTGGCCAAAATGCAAACATTTATTTTATAAAACTCATAACAGAAGTATTAAAAATTGCCAAATTTTATTAATTAGAAATCTATTTTCTATAAATGATGTTTGAATTGGACACAACCTGTATATAAACCTCATAGTAAATATGTCCCACTAATTGAAGATAAATGTTCCTAATGAAGTCAAACCCTTCAAAATGCAGGGTTTAGTTTGACCCCCTTCATGTTAAAAACTGTATAAACTCCACAAAGCATTAAACTTTTATATATAGAAATTCATGTGTACTGTGTAGTTTTGAAATCGGAAATCAGTGTACTGTTTTTGGTTTACCTGATCCTATAGTTCGCGTTATTGCACCAGATAACATATTGTTATTGGTATTGTTTTGTTATTCTATACTTTTTAACAATGATTGAAAATCAAATCTTTCAGTTGAATCTGCAATGTGTGAGTCAGAATTTACTTTGTCTCACACTTTTTCAGTGACATTCTGAAAGTCAGTTAGCAAGGAATTAAAATTCTCTTGGATATGTGTTAGCTTAACTTTAAAAAATAATTTCCTGGTTTATTTCGAATATGAGTCCCAAGAACTTCGCTTTTAAAATCCTCTCTATTTTTCGATTAAAGAAGACCACTACAAAATTCAAATAATAACAACTGAAATTTTCAATTAGAACAAATACTAACACTACAGTGACATCAGACGTCCCGGGCTAAATTAATAAAAAAAAATAAAGAAAAAATTAGAAATAATTTTATATAGTATACAGTATAGTTGTCAAAACAGACATTTATTGTGTATAAATGTATTGTCCCCATTCTTACTTTATCGCAAAACATCTGTTATTATGTTGGAACTATGAATTTATAATCGTTTTTTTCTCCCGTGTTACAGGAGAAGAGCCATCCACAAGCACAGGTGAGAAATGTTTTGTAGTTTTTCTGTAATAGTTTTTGCACCCATTAATGTAAATATTCACAAGCACAATTAATCGTTTTAAAATATCATCGATTCAGCCATTCTCATGCTACGGTGTTTTTGTGTTCCAAACAAAAACGAGCTATATTTGTCAAACTATAAAAATCATTGTGTTTAACGAATTTACCAGCCAGATTTTTAGAACAAAGCACAACCACAAAAGCACTTTTTTAATTATTAGCGTTAGTAAAACTTGTTGGGTTTGAATATGAATCATCTGAGTCGAAAACTTTAACTACCATGTCTATATATCTCACATTGGACAAATTTTTGAAAACTGGCATGTTAGATAGATATAGGTGAGTATTGTCGTTAGGAAAAAATATAATAGTCAGTAAAAGAAAAGTTCATTCCTGGTGTTTCGATATTTTCCTATCAAAACCGCTTTTATGCATGAAATAACTTCACGTAGCGTTGAATTTTTCGCAAAGGAAAATATTGCGGCAGTGACGCGTTTCGTGGTAAAGTAAATTGACGATGCCAATGCCATTATTGTAAGACATCGATAATCTGGTTTGAGCTGTCAAAGCGGGGCATATCTGCAGCGTCGGATGCAATATCCTAAAAATTTATTTCGGTCTGAAACCGAGGTTCGCTCGGCGCGAAGAAAATTCGGATGAGTAATTTGCCAATAATGTTGATAAAATCTCAGTATACCAGATTATTCAGCTTCTTATATTTATATGCGTCTTTCAGAGTAGGGTTAAGTTTTTCTTTTTTACTTTTTATTGAAATTACAATACGTTAGCATTTTTCTAGCATCATCAGAACGTAACCTAATTTAATTGAATAGGGAAAGGACCCAACTACTTAACACCAAATTTTACACTAATTCCGCAGGCGTATATATTTACAATAATACAAAAATTTCTCATACATAAACTGTTTTCCTGAAGCGTCTTCAGCACTCCTTCCATCTCAGTTCCTGCCATCTCGGAAGTTGGACACATTTAAATATTTTCGAAAACATTCCAAATAACACCTTAATTATAAATAAATAAACAAATAATCGACTTTATTATTACAAGATTGTAGATAACAACAGAATAATGAATTTTGTCTAATGGTTATAATATTGATTCATATTTTTCCAAAACTGGAAAAGTAAAAAATAAAGTAGTAAACAAATCTGTTTTCATATGTTTTAACTAATGTTTCGAATCTGTAATAATCCCAATTTCTTCTAAAAGGTAGAATGAAATTACATCCTTAAAAATCAAGCAACTTCTTATAAAACTTTCATTTCTATTTTCTCTAATCGACACCGGACAATATTGGAATGCAGAACACCTCATATATTATTTTAACGTCTTGCGTAAATTAGTTTTCTGATTTTCCTGTTGTATTAATTATTTAACTAATTAATTAGTACTTTACAGAGTAATTTTGTAATGTTCAGGTGTTAGGGCATTAATTAGGTATGAAGCCTCACTTTAAAAAATAATAAAATAAGTGGTAAGTTTTTGTTTGTGTTTAATTTTTTTATATTATTTTAATTATTTAATTTTTTTTTACATATTTACTTTAATTAGAGGATCCAGTCCTAACATATCCACTATCAACGGCGAATCCCTAAGTTTTGTTAAGATAGTTACTTCATTTTTTTCTCTCAACACACGCAGCGGGTCCATATTCTCCAGCATTTTGCAGCATTCACCTGCAACTTTTAAACTGTTATTTCGTAGATTTGCTAATATTATAAAGGCGTTCTGTAAAATTGCATTTCATTAAATGATTACTTGAAGGATAAAATAAGTCATTCTATCTGATACCTAAGTTTTATATAGAATGGCTCCATTTTATCCTTTATCGGTAACACAATAACATATAAACAAAACCAAATTGTTCGGATTTAATTAAAATAAAGTTAAACATGGTTAAAACTTTGATAAGTACCATTTCAGTCACCACTTTCATATTGACACGAGCGGAACGAGTGACTGGAGAACTTTATCAAGGTATTGCACACTGTCCTTTTTCTATGACAATAAGATCATTAAAATCTACCCGAAACATGCGATCGCTCCCAAACTCGTGACTCATGTACTGGAGATGTCAAAAGTGGTATTTTAGACTGGGGAGTAGAATATCCAAATGAAGCACGAACGAACTTTTATCCCTGTGAAGTTGGAAAAACAAATTACACGGCAAGTATTTAAACAACAATCACGTGTCTGCAAACTTATCCCATCTCATTATCCACCCGATATTGAAGCCAGAGTATTACATTTACTTACCGTATCCAATATGCAAACGAGATCACCTTATGCCGTGTACTTAAGACCAATATCCCATTACAAGTCCAATTAGCACTACACGGCACGGCAATCTACTCCGTATTGTCTCGACAATTCAAACCATCTGTTCTAATCAGGGTGAAAGCTATTTGTTATCATAACATCGCCGGGACACTTAACATCCTCTTCGCCGATAAGATACCGGAGTTCGGCGTTTAATTTGGGATTAAACCGTATTACGGATAATCGGCTATGTCGTTTCCGGAAGTTAATATCGTTAAATGGACCAAAACATGCACCGTTTGATAATGAAGTAAACCGGGCCACTGGACTCTTAAAATCTCCGCGCTGCCAGCGGTATCGTGCGAATAAGTTCGAACCGCACTCGAACCGAGAACAGAGTCAAAGAAGAGCCCTTTAGGGGATAACGTAACTTTGCCTGACCGTTTAAGATGAAAGTACAGCCTACCCTAACAATAAAGCTTTGGAACTTGAAGGACTTTGATAACTATGGCTGGGAGCTAACTGAACTAACTAAAAATGAAAAGCGTAATATAATCAGCACTTAAATTTTAAATTCCCTTTCTATCAGCTTAATTTTATTGAATTTATATTTTTTCAATCAAATTTGATCATGTTTTGCAGCCAGAGTTCAAAATAAAATTAACTAAATACTTAAACAAACTGAATTACAATTAAAAATTAGATTTAATATCTTTTAGTTTACAGCAAAATAAATCTATTTTAGTCCTAGAGAATTGGATTCTGGAAAGCATAAGTGTTTCTTTAAACTAGGCCAAAAACTCTAGAATTATGGCTTAAAACTCTATTTTATTTTATTTTCATTTATTTAGTAAATCTTATGCAGTCAATTAAATAATCAAGAATTTTCTGATTTAATGAGACGCTTTCTACATGAACGTCTCATTTCTCTTTCTTATTTCGACGGAAGAATAATTATGCTGCTGTAGAAGTTTCCTTAGTGTGATATATAAGCAATGAAATAATGAAGGAATATTCTCAATTTATCTCATTAAAACCATATAAAATTTTTTAAATTCCCGACTAAGGGTTGTAGACTATTTGATTATTGTGATAGTTAAATTTTTGTTCTTTTTGAAATATGTCAGTGTACTGTTAATTAAATACAAGTGCTTTTTGTAAATTCGAAAATCACGACTGTACATTTTGCGGGGTTTGGTGATAAATTATTCTTTTGACACCATAGTTCTACATTACGCAAGTTATCTGACAAAATTTGACTATGATTTTTACACCACTATAAAGTACAAGATCGTCGGCATATAATAACAAGTTAACACTAATGACTACTATATCGTTCATGCAGAAATTGAACAATTCTAACCAAAATTAATCAAAACTTGAAGAAACAAAACAAAGAAACTTACTGCGTCGGTTTTTGTTTGAGGGGGGCGGAGCTAAAAGAGGCGCATAAACACCGTCTCGGATGACTGTTTCCCAAATTGGTGACCTGAGTCGCGGTTAAGATTGTTAGGTTGTTTATAGATTTCTATAGACTCTCGGATTTTTCATTAGTAGAAGAATAAAATAAAATCAGACCTAAAATTGGGTCATTGTGTTTACAGCAAGCCTACTCACAAAGATTAATGCATTGTCAGATCATCATCCGGCCCAAAAATCATAGGTTGTCAACTCTCTTGTTTACAGAACCTTAAAACTATCTCAGCCCGAGTCATTGAACCCTGAATTAAAACATCTTACCTCTACTCTTCTCTCGAATAATTTCCACATTAAAGATATTAAGCATTGCATCACAAACTACACTTCACCACAACATTCCAATAGCAACGAAACCAAAAGCAATCCCACACTTGCCACTGTTATTTATCAACAGTTCTAAATATAATGTCAAAACCAGATTTACCAATTCTCCAAAAATCTCTCAACCTCTTCGATCCGTCAAAGACAAAAAATATCAACTAGACTCAAAAAACTTGAAAGAGCCTTAAGACATATAAATTTTTTTTCGATAAAACTAAACTTCTTGCATGTAATCAATTCTCCTACCGACGAAAATTCCGAGGGTTCTTAGAAATCTATAAGCAACCTAACCAATATGGTGAATCAGTGATCCGAGACGGTTTTTATACCCCTCTTTTAGCTCCGCCCCCCTCATACAATATAAAAGCAGGTCAAATGCGAACCAGTTTCAGTTCAGCTCTGAAGAAGGCAACAGTTTCTTTGACGAAACGTTAGCTAGTTCGACTCAAGAAAAACCGACGCAGGAGAGACCCATTAGCGTCAGTAGTAGGTATCGGGGTATTCTGTGCTCTCGGCAATTAGTTCGAGTGACGTATGATCTCATTCGGCTTCCTGAGCAAAAATCATTAGTTTGCTCTCTCGGTGGTTGATTATTCTTTGTAGTTTATATAGAAAATGAGATATAATTATATAAACAATTAACAACAATTTTTACTCGACTGTAGAACGCTACTAAATTTAGTGAATATTTCGAATATAATTTAATTGAACTTTTGTTGTTTGGTTGCATTGCAATGCCCCAAGTAAAGTAAGCATATAGTTACCTTCCGGAATTCACGACGCACGCAATGATTCCCCATAGGATTTACGAAAACCCTTTTGTTTTCAGAGAATTTCGATTTAAATACATATATTCTTGAAAGAGTCCGTGCGCGCTTGAAAATTGGCAATTTCCCTCAC